CTTTCCGGAACATTTTTAAAAATTAAGTTGAAAAAATTAATTTTTGTAAAAAAGTTGCCATTTTAAATCCCCCCCAATGAGCAGGTTAAGTGATAGATTTTCCAAAAATGATATCAAATGAAAGGTAAATATCTAAGATTTTAGTATAAAAAAAAATTATGTAGATTTGTTGACTTTTCAAATAGTTATGGAAGTTTTAAGAAAAAAAAGTGAAAAAATTTCGAAAATTAGCGATTTTTAAATTTGTAATTTTTTTGGATATTTCCCCCATTTGCGGGGANACTTATACTGTGAAAAATTGGACTGGATCAAACAACCCCTTCTCGTGTTACATTGGGGTTTGATTAAATAGGGTTGATTTTAGTTTTTCACATTTATTTTAATAAATATTATAGTTAGTGTCAAAATCCATAGAATAAAAAACTATTTAGTGTTAAATTTGACACAAAAAAGATTCGAATTCATTTTTTCTAAAATCCATTATTACTGTGATAATTAAAAAATATCTTTTCATTTTTATAATTTTGTAAAATTAATAATATTAAGGTTATTTACCATATAGACGCCAGATAAAAAAATAATGAACACTTTAATGCTGTGTAAGGTAAATAGCGTTTTGAAATGGTGACTATAAAAATTAGAAGGACATTACGCCGACTTCATTACCTCACCTAAATATTTTAAATCTTTAAAGTAAGTGTTCTTTATATAAAAAAGGTATTAAAAATAAAATTATTTCATATTGCTCATTAAAAAAATTAAAAATGAACACTAAAAATAATGAAAAATATGCATTATTCAGTTGGATTTATAAAACATTTTCGGTTGTTATTTGGAAATTTTTGGCTACTTATGATTAAATATATAGTTAATTTTTTACATAAATGTATTTTTATATTTTCGTCTTTATATATTACCTGTAAAATACATTTTTTAGCTTCGATGCGAAGCTGAGAAGGTATTAATTTTACTATGATGTGTTTTTTTTTTTTTTTTTTTTCTGTATACTCTCAATCTCAGCTCTCACTGAACCAATTTTGATGAAAAATATGTCAAAAGATCACAAATTGTATCTAGTTGAAGACATTACCCTCAAAAATTGAAAAAAAATCCCTCGTTCTTCGTAAACGGGGGAAATCCCCCAAAAAATTACAAATTTAAAAATCGCTAATTTTCGAAATTTTTTCAATTTTTTTTACTTAAAATTGCCATAACTTTTTTAAAAATGANATTTTTTTACTTTAATATAAGAGGAATTCAAAATAAAAACTTTTTTTTTTTTAGTTAAAGTAAGTCATTAGAATTAATTCAGTTCTGGATATTTCAATTGTAGAATCTTTTTAAATACCAAAACTTACTTAGAAATGATTACTATAATTTCTATTTAAGTGTTCTATTACGATAAAAATGCAAAAAATAATGAGTTTTTCTGATAAATTTACAATAAATAGTAATTATAAAACTTTCTGACTGCATATTAATCTTAAAAATAACATTGTTTTAATTCTCATAAAATTTTCTATTTAATGATTCATTCTAGTCAACGAAGGAGTAATTTTGCAGAATAGCAGAAAAAATTCCCAACAAACTTTTTTTTTTTTTGTTTTAATTAGGCAATTGGTGGATTATTCCAAAAGCAACATCAACTCTTATTTCTTTAATTATATCATGATTAGTAGTTCTTTGATTTTAAAATATAATATATGAATATATACTAATTATAATTATTAAATTTAGTATGAAATTGATATTTAATATTGTAATTTAAACGGAGAAATTATAAAAATAATAAAGAAGTTATATTTTGCTTTACTTTTACGTGTATAAAAATTTAAAGGGCTTGATACAATAATTTTCAATAAAAACTGTTTGTTACTATAAAAAAATGCACTGGACTACAAGGAACTTTCATCAGAAGCAAAAATATACTTTTCTAAATCAAATTTTCGCGTTGTTTTCAAATCTGCAAGTAGACTATTTCTATCACTTCTAATTTTTTATATTATTACTAATTATATATATAAAATAATAATTAAAAGAAAAAAAAATTTGTTTTCAAATTATTACTGATTTGATTTTTAATATGTTAAAAATAATCAGTCCAAATTTTCAATTTTAACCTATTTTTTTGGTTCTTTAAAGTTGATGAAAAATTTTTGATAAAGATTTATGAAAGTTTATAGTAAAATAAATTGAATATATTACCATAACTTTTAGCTCAATTACAAGTTTAAAATTGACATCTAGGCCAGTCAACAAAGGAAAAATTGCGGAAAAAATTTTGTTTTTTTAAAAGTTGAATTAAAATATGTATAATGACATACTAATAGTCCTCAAGATTGGAATTGAGCTTTTTTTTTACAGCCTCGCAAAAGTCCAAAATATGAGCTTTTTTAATTTTCTCAAAAAATATTTAACTTACAAAAAAAAGTTTCGTACAAAAGTTGTTTAAAAGACAATTGTAAACAAAAAAATTTTCTTATATTTTTTCATTTAAACAAATATTTTTCGAGTTACATTACAGTTAATATGAGTAGTAAAATTTATATTCCATTTTTTTAATTTTACTGTTACTTTTTATCATGTTACACTTACGTTAGACACAATGTTATAAATGCATATGTGTGTATGTGTGAGTTTATTTATTTATTGTATCATTAAAGTGTAGTGTATATTGAGATACAACCGATAGAGTAGGTAATTGATTTGACGCTATATTATTTAAACCCAACTAAACGCTAAATTGTACATTCCGAAACAACAATCATATTATGTCAATTGCCACCGGAATTTCTGGTAATATTTTTCTTTTTCTTTGCCTTAATCCCAACTACTTGGGGTCGGCCACCCTTATCCTAAGCTTCCACTTGACACGATCTCCCCCACATCTTCTACGCTCACATCAGCTGTTCAAATCGCATTCAATAGCATCCCTCCATCTCTTTTTTTNACATTCAATAACATACTTCTATCTCTTTTTTGGTCCTCCTCTACCGTTTCTTCCTTCAACATTAATTTCTATAACTATTCTTTGAGCTTCCGATTCCTCTCTCCTCATAACATTACTAAACCATCTAAGTCTATTTTCTCTCATCTTATCCACAATTGACACTACACCTTTACTTCATCTTATATGCTCGTTCCTTATCCTACCTTCTCTAGTCACTCCACTCATCCAACTAAGCATTCTCATCTCTGCTACACTTATTCTCTGCTCTACTTTCTTATCAACCGCCCAACACTATGAACCATACATCATAGCTGGCCACACAATTTCATACTAAATTTAAAAACTATAATTAGTATTTATTCATATATTATATTTTAAAATCAAAGAACTACTAATCAGGATATAATTAAAGAAATAAGAGTTCATGTTGCTTTTAAAATATTTCACCAATTTCTCTAAAGGAAACACTATCTACAGATTTGCATCGAAGCNTCTCTAAAGGAAACACTATCTACAGATTTGCATCGAAGCGTTTCTTATGATAGTGATTTTAATCACTGTCAGATATCATCTATACTTGTCCCATCTATGCCTCGTCCACACTGTGCCTCGACCCCACTGTGCTACCGTTTTTTTTTTCTTCATTTTTGTTAATTTTAGCGATATATTCTTCTATCGACTTTATAGAGCGTTCGGTAGTATCATTATCTACACTAATCGAACATATTTTAGGTTGGCTATTATTATAACATTCATTATCTCTCCATTTAGATGAATTTAAATGAAATATAAAATCTTGAAAATATGTTCATGGAGTTAGTCGATGGTAGATTAGAGTTTGTAAATGAAGAAATATCTATTGCATTTAATGAATAATTTTTTGGATAGTCTGTTTGTTCGTCATATGTAACATTAGTCAGGACAAAGGATCCCACTCTGAGATCCGGCTAATAGGGGAGGCTACGCTGTGTGTGGCTCAGCTCTTGATTAATTTTGAGCCGAGTCACATCACAGCGGTGTGAGTTTTATCACCATGTTGGTCGCCCTGAAGTAATGCCTCACAACAGTTCCAGGGTGGCCAACCATAAGTCGATGGTAGGAAAAAAATGTTGTTTGAACTTCCCATTGCGCTGCACTACAGTGTCGGTTTGATGAATAAGCGGTAGCCTTTGGGTATGAAAAAAAACATATAACACGAAATCCTAAGGCACCGGCCTAAACCAGCGCCTTAGGTCCTCCTGCACCGGGTGGCGTGGCTACCTCAGTCTCAGGCGTTCCGCTTCCTCCTTATTTTTCAAGACGGATTCGGCGAACGCTTGGACGATCCTCCACGCCTCCCCGCTCACAACATCAGGCCCATTATGGACCCTAGTAAGGACTCCAAAGAGTCCCCCACTTGGGCTCACGCCTTGCACCAGAAGAAGGCGTGCAAAGCGCTGTAAGCCTCTTCCGGGCGATCCGAACATCATTTGGCGAGACAGAATGTCATCTCACCGTATGTCTGGTCCACCCACCTGTCTACCCGATTGGGTCCAATGAGGAACTCTCCTATGAGGTCCACTCGTTACTTCCGACAGGCAAATCCACCGCCGGAGCAATATGAATATACTTATATTTATATTATATAATTTAAATATACTTATACTACGATTCAATATTCTATAGACTTTATATACTTATAAATGAATGAGAGGAGGAATAAGGGCGAAAAATTTTTAATAATATAAATACCCAAACTAAACATTCAGTGTTTATTTTTATTTTTATAATTTGAATATCAATATTATATTTATTAAACTTTTTATGTGTACGACTAATAATAAATGAGTATATATATTTAAAATCACTTGCGTAAGATTCCAGTCTTCATTATTTAATTGTTTATTGTCTTTTTTGTAATTGATAATTAACTGATCTATTAAGCTGGCAATTTATATTAGTTTCTAAATATGTCTAAAATTTCATTATATTATTTTTAGTGTCATATTTAAGATAATCATATATATTTATATCATTTATTATTAATGATTCAAAAAAAATTAAAAATAAAACCATATTATTTTGTTTTAATAATTATTCAAAGATTTACAATTTAATTATGTAATTGTGGTTTATTTTTAAACGTAAATTTAAAATGTAATGTATATTTTTACAACATTTAATGAGTCTCTATTAATATTGTCTTTGTTGACTATTCATCTGTTGTTTTAAATTCCAATTCTAGATTCATAAAAAAAATTATAAGACATTGAATTGATATTTTAATAAATATTTTTTTATTTAAATTACCTAGCTCAATTGAGTCATCTGGTTTTGGTATAAATGTTTCTTGGGTAATTGGATCAAATTTAAATCCGAGCTGAAAATACTTTTCTGTAATTACAGTCCGGATATAATTCTTAATTTTTTTGGTTAAGAATTTGAAAAATACTAAATTAATTCCTTGGTTAATAATGATTTCGTACTCTTGATACCATTCTTCCCATAAATTATTGTTATCAACTTGTACAAATACACAATATTGTGAAGTGTCATGATTTACANACCATTCTTTCCATAAATTATTGTTATCAACTTGTACAAATACACAATATTGTGAAGTGTCATGATTTACACCATCCATTATTATTCGAAAAAAATTATCTACAGTATTTAACGCCCATAAGTATGTAGAAATATCATCACGTGATAAAATTTGTTTTTTTAAATCGTCATGAATATCTTCAATTTTCCCTAATCGAGGACTTATCATGTAGGTAGTTTTATTATATGCCCATGGTTGGATATGTAGTAAATCCAAAGCATCCATAGCGCTTGCCATCAATTTTGCCAGAGGAACAATAAATAAGGACATTATGTTTATGAGTTTTTCGGTACAAATGCATCCATTAATCAAATCATTCTCTTCTTTTAATTTGTTCTGACAAATTTGTGTAACGTTGCTAATAATTGAAAAAAGATTATTTATAACATTTGAGTATGTGCATCCAAGATATATGGTTAATACTCTTATTTTTTGCTTACATTTATGGCGATTAAGAGTTGTTTCAAACAAATTGTGAAGAAAATGTATATTACTGTGAAATTTTATACAGATCAATTCATTTAATTTTCTCCATCCTGAATACTGTAGTAACTTATTTAACTGATCCCTTTTTGCTTTTAAAATTGAATCTGCTTTTATATACATAATTGCAAAAAAGAATACAAAACCAAACTTGGCAAATTTTAATAAAATCATTTGGAAAATAAATAATATGAATTAATACTAAATTTTTTGATCAAAATATAATACGATAAAGTAATAAAATACACTTATTTTTTATATTTTACATTTATGAATAATAAAATAAACAATTATGATAGAACATCTGTCGATTTAAAATAAATTTCTTTAAAGTTCTTAATTTTAGATTTATTTAACTTAGTATTTCCAACAAGTTCTTAATTTTAGGTTCGAGGAGAAGTTGAGAAGGTGTTAATTTTATTAGTAAAATTAATAGTAAAATATATCATAGGTTCTTTTTTTATGTCTGTTGTCACTTTTTCTTAGCTCTCACTAGACCGATTTCTTTCAATAATACGTCAAAAAATCTAATTGAAAGCAATGCCCTAAAAAAATTAAACAAATTTCATTGTTCCCTGTAATAGGCGCAAGTCCCCAAAAAATTACAATTTTTAAAGTTGTTAAATTTTGGCATTTTTTTCTTAAAACTTCTATAACTTTTTAAAAAAATGAACAAATCAACATAATTTATTTTTATTAAAACTTTAAATATTTCCCTTTCATGTAATATCATTTTTTTAAATTCTAACACTTCACCTGCTCACAGGGGGTCAATCAAAATAGCAACTTTTTTACAAAACTCCACTTTTCAACTTAAGTTTTAAACTATATTTATTTCTCACTTTTTAGTTTCATGTTATGATAGTAGTTAATATGAATATCATGGTTATAACGGGTAACGGGATATCAGGGTTCGATTTTGGAGAGGGAGTCTAAGAAACGGCTACCACAGCAGGCGCGCAACGTGGAGGTAGTGACAAAAAATGACGATACGAGAATCATCCCCCGTAATCAGAATGAATACACTACTAAGAGATATAATGAGAATACAGTGTATTAATATATGTTTTAATAGTAATTAGAATATATATATATATATATACATGTAAAGGGACTTAAGTACGTAAGCGTATCATGCATGAGGTATAGCCGTGTTTTGTGGGCGGGCGTGGCGGGGGGAACATTATACACGATGCATATACGGCGGCTGTAGGAATATATAAATTAATATTAACATATACGAATATACGTATAAATATTAATATATATATATATATATATATGTATATGTATATATATATTAATATTAGCGGTGGCGGTAGGAATATATTTTTCTCGCATAATATCGCGGCACTGTCGCTGGCGTCGACGACGCGATGTCTGGCGTGATCCTCGGGCGTCAAAAGGTTAGCATGGTTAGTGATGTGCAAATTCCCAGGAATTTTATGATGGGAAAATCCCTTGAGATAATTTCCGGAACATTCCTTATACCGGGAATTTATCGGGAATATTATAATTTTGTTAAATTTTGTTCATATTTATTAATTTTGTTTCAATATTTAACTAAACTTATAGCTGTAAATGGTCCATGGCCTATATTTTATACACAAAAATATTATTGGAGAAAAGTAAGACATTTGTGTAATAATTAGTAGAATTATTCTAAAAATATTTGATTTGATTAAGATTTAGGTACCTATGAATTTATTAATATAATGAAATTATGTACTAAAGGTTCAGTTGTTGATGCAAAGAATTGACTATAAGTAATTATTTAAACTGCTTGTATATATTTACATTAAACTAAATATGAAATTTTATGTTGAAACATTAGGAATTTTAAATATTTTATAACTAATTATAATTTTTGATTCTGTTATACTTTTTACTGTTTATATTTCAAATTAACTGTATGCTATGAATCATTTTATAGGCATCATAGTCTATGATGCCTATAAAATGCTTAAACAAGTTACCAAATTTAATACGTTATTTTTTGTTCACATTTTCCAGGTTTTTCAAAAGTAATAAAAGCAAAGGATAACTTTATTAACATAAATGTTTACTTATAAATGTAAATAACAACAAGATAACTTATTTCTTTTTGTTTTAAATACTCATTAAAGAAATCATTGTCACTGTCACTAGGACACCACTCTTCATCGTCGGACGAAATTAAACCATCAATTGACATTGAATTTTCATCTGACACAATTGATATATTAAGTGTATTTTTATCCATTTCATTAGGTTCACGGGGTTCGCCTTCATAATTAACATAAGTAACTTTTTTATTCTATTCTATATTTTGTCTCCAATAATGGACAACAAAAGTTATTTTTGAAGCATTTGATGTTGTTAAACGGTTCCTTTTTTTGTGTGAATATTTGAGAATGTGCTAAATGAACGTTCAGTGGCTGCTAATGTAGCAGGAACAATTAATATTTTTTTTGCAATAATACATAAATGAGTACTTGAACAAAAACTATTCCACCATGTTAAAGGACTTATTTTCTCCACACATTTCCAAATAAAATTATTGCTCCATATATCTTGTCGAGATCTGTAATTTGCTATATCAGCTATTATTTGAGCACCATCCATTTTAAGAGAATCAGTCATATTATTTTGTATAGATATCATTTGATCAATAAACTCAATAGCTTTTAATACTTCTGAATTTAATAAATTACACCCTTGAGTTTTGGGATCCAACAAAGATGCAGCTAAGTATAGAGGTTTAATAGTATTTAAATGTCTTTCTTTAAACTTATTCAGTATTATTTGCAATTTTTTAGTAGAAATAATCAGTGATTCTGAGATATAACTACAAAAAGTATTTTGAATTTCATAAAAAGCATCAAATACATGATTAATTATATTGCTGTCCCCTTCTAAAATTGTAATCCATTTTACAATAGGGTTAAGTAAATTAATAAGTTTATCGATTTTAGTCCAAAATACAGCATCATCTAAAATTAATTTGTTTCTGTTTATTCCTATCATAGAAGATCCAACAGCATGAACAGCTAATGTTTGTAATGATAATTTACATTCTTTCATTGAAGTTAACTAGTCTTTCGTTAAAATAAGACCAACAATTCGAATATTTTTACCGGCATTTTAAAAGTATTTTGAAAAGTAAAATAACAAATAAAATAACTGTGAAAAACGATACTACTATAATCAATTTTAATCTAAGCCTTGATATATTGCTTATCAATAGTATGTTGATAAACATATCAGTGTAATCAAGATATAAATACAATAACGTTGTCTCTTTCACTAGCACTGCCATACTTTAATAATTATAATAAATAAAATGCATTAGTTGTTATTAAAGAAATATTCCCGAGTGGTAATAGAATATTTCCGGAATATTCCTCATTCCCAGGAACGTTCCCTGGGGAATATTTCTTGTGGCACATCACTAATCATGGTAGATGACGACAGTGCGCGAGTGCGGATCAGTTTGTTAATGTTGTCACTTTGACAACGAGAAGAAGACTACGGTATCATTAACGGCGGGACGTCGTCGGCCGTGCGGCACTTGCTGGACTTTGCACCGCGACGTAAAACGACNATATAGATTTAATGTGTAAAATCTATGGTAACATTTTTAATAATTAATAATTATTTTTTTTTTATATAATTTAAAGAGTATACAGTAATAAGTTGTTTATGTGTGTATTTGTTATACAATTTAGTATTAAAAAACCACTTTATTGTAGAATCGATCAACTTATTATTGAACAAAATTACAAATCGATAATTTAAAATATGTCTGCACAGTTTAAAATAAAATTCCAGAAACAGATGGTTACTGGTCAACTAGTTAATATGGAAAAACAATTAGATTTTTGGATGATACAGTTGAGTATGCATTTCCCGTAAAGGGGCAACATGAAGATCTACATAAGGAATTGTTTCAAATCAGTATTGTCAAAAACGCATGCAAGAGTATGGTAAAAGAAGGACAATTTCGTAATATAACGGTTATGTTATCGGAAGAGGTAAGTGCATTGTACACTGATGACCAACGTAATTTTGTATTCAGATCATATTATCTTGACGAATTAGACGAAAAAAAAATTAATGCAGATAAAAATACATTTGTAGTGGATGATAAAAATGATTTAATGAAATTGTGTATGGATTTAAAAGCTCAATTAGAATTAAGAGAGATATCATTAGCTGATATAGAAAAAAAATTTATTATAGATAAATTTAACGGTAGACAGAATGTAAAAGAATGGTTAGACCAATTTGAAAAAGAGTGTGATAAATATAAAGTCATAGAGGAAATTAAGAAGATACAAAGTTTAAAATTTTTTTTAGAAGAGATTGCAAAATAATGGTATAATTCAAATTTAAGAAAATTATCAATAAACAAATGGTCAGATTGGGTAGGGTCCTTTTTACAAGTGTATGCTGATAAAAGTTGGGCAAATGTCAGATTTGCATATAACT